CATGAGGCATTGCAAAACTGACAGTTACAAGCATGACTCCCAAAGGCACAGGCATGATGGGACTTGTAGTTTACCAACAGCTGGAGGGTCCACAGTTGCCCACCCCTGGTTTAGGTCATTGGAGAAAAAAAAGAAAAAAAAAAACCTGCTGTATATTTAATATGCAGGCTGATAGGCATATACCTACAGCAACCTCCCAAACCTTCATGGCCATACCCAACAGGTCAACCTTCAGCAATTCCTTGTGGTTCCAAAGCTTGACCTACTCTTGCCTTCTACACATCACTATTGGCCAAGCAGACTTTCCGTCATAGTGATGTGGCAAAAGGAACTTAGTGGCAAGCTCAGAGCTTCCACCATTCTACTGGTTCAGTCTGGAGGTATGTGTAGGCACCTCCTGTCAAGGTCCTACCTTTTCCCTGAGGTTTTGTTACTCCATGTGCTGGCGTCCATCTTGGATTCTGCTGTGCATGGTGGGAATCCTTTTATGCCTTCAGGTCTCTGAGGTCCATCCCCCAGAGGGGTGTGGCTGATGACATATAAGCCTGTGGCCCGCACATGCTCTTTGCACTTGTGTCTTTGTCTTCCTACAGCTCTGTGTATACGCTCGTGACTCTTCTGGTATCTGACTCAGCTTGTGTTTAAGACCATTCTCTGTGTTTTCCTTCGATCTGACCTTCCGTTGCTGAACCCGGCCCGTGACCTGTGATTCTCTGTCTACTGTTCTGTACCGTTTTGTCCCGTTGTTGTTGACCCGGCTTGCCTGACTACGCTATTGTCATTCTCACCAGCTACACGCCATTGGCGGCGGCCATTACCGCAGCCGGGGTGTCTCGGGGGCCGTGACCTGGTTCCTGGCTGCGTCAAGTCCATCCCCACCATCAGGGGCCCTGGTGAAGGGCAGCCTGGGACTTAGACTCCGCGCCCTGAGGGACTTCGGTCTGTTGGTGGTGGTTGTCGTCAGCCAGTGCGTTACCCTGCCACTAGGCCTACCTGTCCGTTCCACAGCCCTGCCCTGCCCTGACACCTCCATACAACTACCCTTAATATACTTAATGTGTTTGATGTACCTCCTGAAGGGTAGATAAACTTAAAAATCATATCTAGATCCATTTGCCCTGCTGAGATGGTTGGCCAAGATAACAGTAACTTCTAGTGATGTGGCAATAAAAATGTATGTGGGCAGAACTTAGTGATGAGCTCAGAGATACCACCATTCAACTGGTACTGTTTAGGAGGCTGCAGCAGGTATGTGTAGATACCTCTAGACAATCACTCTTCCATACTGTACATGCCTTGTACTATTCTTACATACCTGCTGTAGGGCAGATAAACTTAAAGTTAAATTCAGATCCTTTAGCACTGTGAGATAGTTGCCCAAGATAACAGTTACTTCTAGTAGTACAGCCACGCATGACAGATGGGGTTCCTGTTGTAGGAAAAAAAAAACTTTTGAATGCTTATCCAAACAACAAAATGTAAAGTTCTACACAACTAATGATAATTCAGCTAAACCATCAATGGAATGGAAAATCACAATAGACATACCCAACAGTTTTTCAGTGTGGACCACACATACTGTCTCACTCCCAGTGCAATTCATGGTAGTCTGCTGTTTACACCATTCAGAATTACTTGACTTGCAAGCAGGACATGTCACTTCATTGGCTGTTAAATTAAGGCTTGACCCTGTGAGATTTTAAATAATTGAGAAAATGATTGAAGCAATCCTTGACTGTAAGAGTATTTTTGGTTAATGCAACCAAACTTTGCCCAATAAATTCCAATTTAGTTTAGGCCTAATATTGAATTTCAGGTTGGGCTTGGTATGTTATTTTTTTTATATAGAATGAATGGTATTAATATGGTACTTTTAGCAATTTTACTACTTTTTGGAATAGGAGAAGATAGCAATAGAAAACTGAGTATTAAAAAAAAAAAATACCTCAACTCTCAACTCAACAGAAAAGAAATCAACTCAAAAACATGCCATGTCCCAGTAACTGACATGACATACTATGCAAATAGATACTTACAAGCTGGATTGGTTAGCTTGCAGGTATTAGTTGAACAAATGGTCAATACTCTTAACGTGCCACCGAGAAAGGTTGTGCTACCGGAGATTCCACACTGGTATATTGGTAAACATGCAGTCCTATTTTTTTCAGAACTTGCATTATCTGCAAAAGAGTATTATTGCTTATTAAAGAGGACCAATCTTGCCACATAGAGATGTTATTCTAGTACAGTCGTGGAAAATGCTTGTTCAACTTACCAACAGTACTTAGAGTTTGAACTCTTGCACAGATGGTGCCAGAAGGACAGGTTACATCAGTGTCTGGGCAATAGGTGTTGCTAGAATTGCCTTAAATTAAAAAAAAAAAACAATCATTTATCACTCTTTTTCTCTTACCAAGTACAAATTTCACTCAGTTATCTCCTAGAATTCTCTAAAAGCAAGGGCAAGTCTTTCCTCAAAGAAACTACTTCCATAATTCATAAAACTAAAGATTGGTGATCCAGAATGAATGGATCACACAAATGAGTAAATTGGGTGAAAATATTTGATCATTTACTTATGGCTTCCTGTACCAGTTCATTTACCTTCTCATTGGTGTCACACAGTTTTCTTAGAACACTTTACTCTCATATTACTATCATCTACAGATGAGTGAAGAGATCAGTTGTGGTTTGGTGCAGTTTTTTTTTTAACTTGTTTGCCTTTGAAACACATAATTTTTAAAGTAGAAGTCCCATTGGATGCAAACAAGTACCCATAAAGTGTATATTAAAAAGCTACAAATTATGCAAAATGGTCAGATTGGTTTGGGAAGCTTCTGCAACCCTACCTGATGAAATGATGGGGCTAACAAATGGAAACATTTAGACACAGTCTAGGGCAGTGGTGGGCAACCTTTTTTTTCAACTGAGCCAAATCTCGCCAAAACCACGATTGAAATTTATTTTGAGAGCCACATTTTTAAAACTGAAAATACATCCCCCATATAGTAATTCATCCCCCATAGTAATTCATCCCCCATAGTAATTCATCCCCCATATAGTAATTCATCCCCATATAGTAATTCATCCCCCATATAGTAATTCATCCCCCCTATAGTAATTCATCCCCCATAGTAATTCATCCCCCATATATAGTAATTCATCCCCCATATAGTAATTCATCCCCCATAGTACTTCATCCATATAGTAATTCATCCCCCATAGTAATTCATCCCCCCTATAGTAATTCATATAGTAATTCATCCCCCCTATAGTAATTCATCCCCCCTATAGTAATTCATCCCCCATATAGTAATTCATCCCCCCTATAGTAATTCATCCCCCCTATAGTAATTCATTCCCCATATTGTGTCAATTCACTTACCTTTGCTCCGCGCGTTCCTCTCGCCATGTTCCCGCGCCGTTCCGGTCTTCAGGGCGGACTTGTGAGAAGAGAGGAGTTTGTCACGCTGCCCCGCCTACATCCTGACAGCCAATGTTTGCCACGCTCCGCGGGCCGGATTAAAAGGTCCGCCGGGCCGTATACGGCCCACGGGCCGTAGTTTGCCCATTGCTGGGCTAGCTGCAGAGTCCTGACTTTTGGGGCGGCCGCCCGAGAGGAGGGAGGGGAGCGGGCACCCGGCACACAGAAGAGCCCCATTAAAATGTGTAAAGAGCCGTATGTGGCTCGCGAGCCGCGGCTTGCCGACCACTGGTCTAGGGTAATCAGAAAAAATAAGCCAAGAGAAACTCCTTACAGCCCTCAAAAGACGTATGTGTCTAACTTTTTATTGTTGTAAGTATTTACTGGATTTTCAGTGAGTTACAATAGTCATTACACATATGGGTCATGGATGCATAAAATGACAACTCGGCTTGGAAAATCATGTTGGTGGCAAAAGGATAAACTCATAGAAACATAACAAATGAAGAAGCCGTCATTCTTGCTCAATATGAGCAGGATAACAAATATTGTCCTAAAAAAGAATTCAGAAAGCACCTGCCTAAGCGTTAAATGACATAAAAAAAGTAGGGGGAGCCAAGGACCGGTCAGCCATGTCTAAATATCCAGAGGAACATTGAATGGCAAGATTGATAACCATTAATATCTTCAGATTAACTAAAGGGAAGAAGAGGGAAAGGGGGCAGGAAGGAGGGCTAAAAAGCTTAAGGTTCAGGAATGGACTCTCCAAAACTGATTTAAACATTGAAATACTGACACATAATGGCAAAAGGCCTCCTATGAGTTAAGAACAGATAGAAAACAGATAATAGGGAGGCTGCCAATTGTCATTGGAATACTGAAAATTGACCATTTCTGCAAACCATTTCAGGTCCTCTTTTGCAGACCTTTAAGCTCTGAGGAAGAAGGGATCCCCCTTCGAAACACGTCAACTTGACCAAGAGTCTATCTCCCTTTCAGATGGAACTTGCACTCGTCGTCTAACTCTGTGTTGGTTTTGGATGTTATATGCCTTTTATACTGCTACTCTTGTGAGTATAACTTATCAATAAATACATGAATTGTTTACAGAGGTAATGTGCAAGGTTTGTGCGCTCTTTTCTTTTTTTCTCTACTACAGGTTCAGGAATGGAGCCAGGGATCCTAAGGGTCTGCAGGGAATAGTAAATGAAAAACAATGTATTGCCAATAAGTGAGAGGATATCAGCTTGGCAGCAGTAGTGTGGTATCCAAGTATGGAGGAAGGTAGTGGTCCACCAATGGTTGCCAGGTCTTAGTATATTTGGTGATCCAATCCTGCAGTATAGTTTTAATTCTAGCATGAGCCATTGCTTGGGTCACCCTATTTTTAGTCTCAACCAAAATAAGCATTCTTTGAGGTCTGAAGAAGGAGCCTACTGAGCACGCTCCAAAACGCGTTACTGCCCCCTTCACCTCCTACATCCTACTCTTCTCTCCAAGTCTCATTTTGATGCACAGGCACATCCTGAGCTTTACTTCCTGATAATATAAACAGAGTTTGCTGATGGATGTCCCCAATGGTGTATTTACCACAAGGCAAACAAGGCATTTGTCTAGGATGGCATTTTTCAGGAGGGGCAGCACTGCCCCTCAGAAGAAGGGGCAGAAGGGACACACGCGGCATGGGGACCTGGTGGGTTCTGATAGAGGCTGCGGGTTTCAAGACGGTGTATGCACAGTCCGGCTCTCGTTCCCGGGGATGTCCAGAGCTGTGAAGGTGAGTGTCTTTCTCTCTCTCGCCATGGGGGATGGTGGCTGGTGTATGGGGGGAAGTGGTAGTGGAAGGCTTTCTTGGGCGGGAGGTAGGGGTGTTGTTGGTCAATGCCCAGGCTCTCTTTGTGGGGGGTGCCGATTTTTGTGTTGCCTAGGGCAGCACAAAATCTAAATACACCACTGGATGTCTCACCTGGATCTCATTACACCACACGATGAGTCTATTTAACTATTTATCTTGTAAGTGCAATGTATCTATTGTTTACCAATACATTTTCAATACTGCACTTAGAGGCACCTTCCTCTCTTTTTTTATGGATTTTCATTCTTTCGCTATGGTTTGTTTAGCCACTGTAGCTATTTTCTGTAGTAGTTTGACTTAGGATTTCAGAATATCTGGTGATATAACAATGCTATAAGTGGATCAGCTTTGACCATTTTCAAGAACAGGGTTGAAAGGATCTGGAAGACCTCTGTCCAAAAAAAGCTTACCACGGGACAAGACCACCACATAGGAAAGTGGGTGCCTATATCTCCACAACCTCAGAAGCAAAGTGGCAAATAAGAGTGAAAATATCTGGACACCAGGGGCGGACTGACCATTGGGGAACTCAGGCACCGCCCAAGGGCCCGGGGTCAGTAGGGGGCCCCATGAGATGTCCCTGGTACCTTTCATAGGCTTTTTTGGGTGTGATTTGAGTGTAGGGGTGAGGACACAGGGGCCCCATGATCCCCTATTGCCCGGGGCCCCATGAGTTGTCAGTCCGCCCCTGCTGGACACTCAAACTGGGATGCATTACCAGCGGGTCAAGACATTATAGTTTGCAATGTAAACAAAAGGTCTTCCCATAGGTTTTAGTTTAGGCCCGCAGATTCTGTAGAACACTACTACATAGCAAGCTAGAGGAAAGCTAAAACAAAGTGAGGGAGAAAGATTTTTTTTTTGTTAATTTTCATATGTTATTTATTTTGGTTAGCTATGAGCTTAGTTCAAGGAAATGATTGGTTGCATGTCTGTGTCAATGTATAGAATATTACAGAATACCTCCACAATAGCAAGTAAACAGGTACGTCATTTCCGTTCCATTGACACTGTATTTCTGAGGGCTGCAGATATTTTGCTTGGCACAACCTCTAATGGTGGACTTGTTTCCTGTAATATGAGAATAATAATCGTATTTTGATATTTAATACATTTTCAACAGTATACATTTACCAGACCAAAAGGAAGCCAAAGACTTTGAAAATATAGCAATAAGGGTTTAATTTAAAAAAAAAAAAAAAGACTTACCGCCTATGTCAGCAGAGTAAAGAGCGCACACTGTCTCATCTCCGGTACAGTCAACAGTCTGTTCTTTGTAACACCAACTGGAGGAAGATGACTGGCAGGTCGGACATGTCACTCCATTCGGTTCAGAACTCACAGAGGGTACTTAAAAACAACGAAAATGTGTGTTTCACATATTGGGTATAACTTCTAACCCACAGGCTATTGGTGTTTCAATAATCATCTAGATGATCTAGATCAAGGTTTCTCAACCAGGATTCCAAGGAATCCTGGGGTTCCTCCAGTGGTTGTAAGGAGTTCCTTGAGCAATGAGCAATTTCTGCCTCTCAGATAAGTTCCCACTGAACCCATTGATCATTTTAGCTATTTGTAAGGGGGGAATTCTTCCCATAGACCGCACGTGTAAGGAGCATTTTTCATAGGCTTTTTTGGGTTTGGGTGAGGACACAGGGGCCCCATGATCCCCTATTGCCCGGGGGCCCCATGAGTTGTCAGTCCGCCCCTGTATATATGTATATGTTATGTGTTGTTTGTACCCACAGTACAGCCCAGAAACAACAATGCGCATTTTGTTTTTGTCTTTTTTTTTACCTAAAACACACTGACACTGACATTGACACTAGCTGACACTGACCATTTTTTTTAAATCCTGACCTTTGACCTTGACCTTTGACCCTGACCTTGACCCAAACACTAACCCTGGCACTGAACTAGATCAAACCTTGATCTAGGTATTTTTTATTTATTTTTTATTTTATTTTTTAATATCTATCTATTTTTTTTTTTTTTTTTTTTACAAAAAATTTTTCCCCTCTATGCCAGGAGTTAGAGAGATACAGTGTATCTCTCTCCTCCATTCATAGAGAGAGAAAAAACAAGGGGGCCGGGCTGTACAGTGACTGATCACTGTGATAGCCAATCAAAGGTTATCACAGCGATATGTGACCTGGAATCGGGAATCCGGGTCCCAATCGTTAGAACAGGGACCCAGTGCTCTCAGTGACACCACGGTCTTTGTGCTGGGAGCCCAGAACAAAGACGGGTATGCAAATATGTGGCCCCACGGAGAAAAGACCAGTTCTGTAAGGCCACATATTTGTGTTACGTCGGCGTCAAGGGGTTAAAGTGTAAACCTAAACCTAAAACTAAATTCCAGGTATAGATTATTTTACATAGTTACATTAGTCTAGCTTGGTCTAAGGAACCATTCATATACCATACCTGTGGGATCTCTGTGGAAGCTGGCATGTTTGAGCAGCTGCCCTACTGCTTACTGAATACAAGAGGTGGCCCAAATGGCATGGGTGCCATTCAGAAAATCTTTTGCATTTTCTAAATGAATGCAAAACAATTCTATGAGTGGACAAGATGGCAAATGGGACTTCCCCACCCGGATTCTCAACCTCATCCACTCAGGCAATGCTTTGCATTCATTGGGAAAACACAGCAAGTTCTTTGAATGGTGCCCATGCCAAACTGGGGACCTCCAATGTTAACAATGCAGTTGGGCAGCCACGTGGAAGCAATCTGCACTTGCTTTAGACCCAAAAGATGGTGGAAATTGCTGCAGAAACAGGGTTTTCAGGTTCCTGGGGGTTCAGCTAGGTATGATATATGCATAGTTCTACTGGTCTGAGCTGGACAGATATAACTATGTATAAATACCCATACCTAAATTTCAGCTTTAAGTCCCCATCAGGTTTTATTTTATGTATTTATTTACTGTATTTACATGTCTCAACCCTGTTAGGCAGATTTCCCTTTATTTTCTGTCTCATTGACCCAGCAGGAAGCAAAGGGAGATCTCTACAAATTGAGGAGATACCCCTCTTAGGCTTCATGTACACTGGGCTTAAAATTGCCGCTTTTAAAGCATTTGACTCTTTTTTTTTTTTTTTTTTTAGCTGGTGAAAGCTGCTCTGTGTTGGCTTATGTGTCCATACATACATTTACAGGCATATTCAAAGAGGCATGCTTAGAGCCTAAAAACAAATCCACCTAAAAGTGTGTTCAAGAGAGGAGCTGAAGAGCAGGAAAAGAGCTGAACAAGCCTAAACCCATGTAAACACAAGTAGAAGCTAAATTAATATCATGGCCAATGGAGTCAATTAATGCTCAAACACTTTACGAACATTAAATGTATCTAAACTTGTCTAAACATGTGTGCAGTACGAGGTTTTGGGCATATTTTATGAGCAGCTTTTCTTTGGTCAGTTCTGGTGTTCAGAGGAGAAAAGCAAACGCCCTGTGAGCATGAGGCCCTATAGAGTTGTCACCAGAACAGGCTTCTCAACTGGACGATTTTCTCATCAAAATATGAAACTCTAATATGTTGGATTTCCCATCAACATCTGCACTGGAGACAATGGTATCCAGGATCAATAAAATGGGTAAATCTCAATGATATGGATATATTTAGAAGAATCAAAGTCAAAAAACAATTGGAGAAGATGGAAGAAGCCTTGGCTCCCTAAAGCAGGCCAACATTTTTCATCAATAATTAAAAGGAAATAAGCCTGGTGGATACCTTCCTTGGCCAGATGCCAAAGGCAAAGGGAGTTCTGACATTTTAATACACGTGTCAAACTCCAGGCTCTTGGGCCATATCTGACCTGCCAAGCTACTTCATGTGGGCCCTCTCACCTTTCCTGCAACTGCCTCACCCCTCTCATCTCCACCCCTGCCCTTTCTTGGCAGTCGGTAGCAGAGAGGAAGACAGAACCTCTCCTACAGATTCCTGCACCTCTCTGTACAGCAGCGTCTCCACCTCCCCTGGTATGAGCATGTAACAGACTCCAGCAGCTGACTCCAGCCCTCCTCTGGTCTCCAGACCCTGCACTTTCTGCTTCTCAGCTTCATCCAAGCAGCAGCACAAGGTAAGGGGGGTGCATTTTGAATGTAAGGGAGGGTGAAGGACTCTTGACTTCTGATGTTGGGGGGGGGGATTTGACATTTGATGTGAGGTGCTCTGGACATCTAGTCTTACAGATACAAAGGGCAACCATAATGCTGATGCGGCACGCAATGAAATTGGGTTCAACACCCTTGCTTAAACAGACACAGGCCCTTGTGTGCATGTGTGGTGTGTTTAGGTAGATTTATTACCTGGTGGGATGGATGAAGATGAACAGTTGTCAAAAGCACAGCATGAAGAAGACATCGTTATGTTACCATAAGGGGAGCTAACCGATCCAATTCTGTCACACTGGTTTGAAGGTGCACACGACCTGATGAATCTTGAAACTGGTTCACCTGTTAACCATGTGAATTAAAATATATTTACTCTAAATTTCAAAACAGATATGGAAATAATATCCTAATTTGATTTTCCCCTTGCCTCTAAGCAAAGGTGTGTTACTTTTTAGAACCTCTCTGCATAGCAACATGGAGGGGTCCTTCAACAACATCAGAATGCAACCTTGGAATCCTGGCTTTGATCTATTGACTTGTATTTGAACTTATGTAACTCATTGTACTTATGGAAAAGACTTAGATCCTGAAATCTCCTCTGGTTAATATGGTGCCTACTGGAATTGGCACTGCATTGGCACTGCATTGAAAAGTTCTTGTAAATGTAACTCACCTACAGTTGAGTTTGCATTGAGGTTGCACAGACAGAGCCAGTAGGGCAGGTGACACTGTTTCCTGTGCAGTTTGCTGAGTCCATACACTCCAAGCATGAGATGTTATAGCCTACAATTTGATAAAAAAATAAAAAAGAATAAAGTGAGGACACATTTTGGAAGCCTT